TGCACGCGCGTGCACACGTTAGTATGCAAGTACCATGAAGGTGGCGGGAACAGCGAGCATGTTTGGGTGCTTCGTGTGCGCACACACCTCTGGGTGCACAAACACATGTGTGCAGGTGTCCAGGCCGGGTGAGCCACGGGAGTGTCTGTGTGTGTTTGCATGCCGTCTACAAACATGTTTTCACAGAGCTCTAGAGAAGCGATCAGTCATCTCCAAGGAATCTTAGCAACAGCCATCCCCAGAAAGGTTGCTGCCAGCTGGAGCGGGGATGAGTCAGCAGAGGCAGCAGTGAGGGGAGCAGCGCTCCCGGCCAGGGCGGCCTCTCCCTTCTCCCTGGATGGCCTCCAGGCCCGGCCTGGCCGCCTTGCCTGGGTCACTGCTTTGGCTCCGGTGTCCGAGAACACATTCCTGGAACTGGCCAGCTCAGGCCGCCGCCGAAAGGGTTTTTCCCTCCCCCGCCCCCTCCCTCTTCTCCTGGCCCGCCCTATGCCTGCCCTTTCTTTCCCCTCTTCTTGCTGCAAAACCAAAACACCGAGTTCAAGAGCTGTGGCCAGATGGCAGGAGCTAGAGGCAGAAGGGTTGGGACACAGGAGCTGCCTGGGCCCAAGCAGGCCAGGGGACAAGGAAGCCTCATCAGGCAGCAGTCTTGCTGGGGAGTGCCGAGCTCTGTTACGGCAAGCTGGGGCCCCAGGAACAGCGGAGCAAGGCGAGGGCTCCCGGGGAAATGCACTGTGTCTCTGCCCCAGGAGCAGAGCCTGAGAGTGCTAGCACAAAAGCAAGACTCTGTTAGGATGGGGCTAGGAGATGACCAGAGGGCCAGAGAGGCTCAATTGTCATTAATCATGACTCTTCTCTGAGTGCCTAGTCATTTCGTCCTCAAGGTGACTTTCAGAGGTGGTAGAATTATCTCCTTTTACAGGTGGGTAGGTGTAGACAGGTAAAGAAGGGATTTGGCCCAAGATCATGCAGCTATTAGCAATGGAACCAGATAGAATTAGCCGACTCCACATGCCATGGAGTCGATTCTGACTCAGGGTGACCCCGTGTGTTTCAGAGTAGAACTGCGCTCCATAGGGTTTTCAATGTCTGTGGACTTTCAAAGGTAGATCACCAGGCCTTTCTTCCGAGGCACTTCTGGGTGGATCGAATTGGCAACATCTTGGTTAGTAGCACCATTTGTACCACCCAGGGACAGACTCCAGGGCTTTAACCAATGGGCCACAGTGCCTTTCTTCATCCGCACACTGTGTGCCAGGATCGCTGCACCTACAGAAAATTGAAAAATAAAAACAAAAGAGGCTATCCCTCTCCCTGCTCACAGCAACCAGATCTGGGTGAAGAGCCATCTGCAATCTCAGCACTGGCAGAGGCTGTGGCAGCAGGGGCAGGAGCAGCCTCGCCCAGCCTGAATCCCTGGCCTCTTCACTGGAGGCAGGAAATGAATAAATGCTAAATGAGTTTGAAAATGCCAGGAGGCAGTGTTTATCCCCCGTCCCTCCTCCCACCCCTGGCAAGGACCGTGTATAGTTACAGTTTAATCTTGGAAATGCCAGACAGCTGTTCCCCGTTGCTAAGAGACTGGCCCACATTATGCAGATGTCAGGGACCTCGAATGTCTGCCGGAAATTACAGATCATGTTGGAAGAGCAGAGGGGCCTTCTCTAGGGCTGGGGAGCACAGCAGGAGACCCTCCTGGGGGGACGGCAGAAATTCGGGACCCACCCATTCCCAGGCCTCCTCCTCTGAGGCTCCAGAGCCTTCCCACCCCTTGCCCACCTGCCCCAACCCTGGCTCTCTCCTTGCTGCAGCCTTCACCCCGCATCCGGCCCTTCATCCTTGGACGACTCTACCGCCACACATCTCCACCCCCACCCTCCAGTTTTCCTTCTGGAACGTCTTTCTTCAGTGCAGTCTCCCTCTGTCTGTCTCCCCATCTCTCCTGCTGTTGGGCTGCTGCTGAGCTGGCTAGGACTGAGCTGTGAAGAGGCGCAGAACCCACCCTAGGAGAATGGGATTCTGTTGGGCGAGCCTTCCGCATATGCGGCTTGAAATGGACACATGCATACACACACACACACACACACACACACACACACACACACACACACACACACACACGCTGCCCCCTCCCCCACAGGCCATCGCCATGGCAACCGAAGGCTGCCAGAGCTGCTGCATCACTGGTCCCCAGGGAAAGGGGGCCGCCATCTGCGTGGGGGGCGGGGGAGGAGGAGAGGGAAGCCCTTTTCCAAACTGGTACTCACTGTGAACCCTGATCAGATGTGACAGGGAATTCACCAGGGCCCTGGGGCAGGAGGGGTGAAGGCGCAGCTCCTGCAGGCTGGAGAGGGCCACGGGGAGGCTGCAGGGGTGCCGGGGGAGCAGTGGCATTGCAGCAGCCTCAGCATGACTCCCGACATTGTGGGGTGGGGCCCGGGAGCAGAGTGGGTGCTGTGTGCCTGCTGCTTCCCGGAGAGCCACTAGGTGCCTTGAGGGCGGAAACTTTAGCTCCCAGTCCATGCATCCAGGTGGTGGCCCCTCCCTGCTGCCAGCTGTGTGACCTTGGCCTTCCTCCAGTTGAGGAGCACCGGCCGTAAAATAAAGCCAGGTGTACTTTATGTGTCCTGGAGGATGGCTGTGAAGAGAAGAATCGTGGCGGGGGGGGGGGCGGTGTGCGCTTAAACATATATGAAAATCCTATGGGGAAAGGTTCTCGGAGGCCCCATGAACACTGTGGTTGTTAGGTGCCTTGAAATAGTTTCCTACTCAGGGCAACTGAGTGTGTTACAAAGTAGAACTGTTCCATAGAGGTTTTTGGCTGTAATCTTAATGGAAGCAGATTGCCAGGCCTTTTCTTCTGCCGCACCGCTGGGTGGGTTTGAAACGCCAACTTTTCAGTTAGCAAAACAAAAAACAAATCGTTGCCGTCAAGTCAGTTCTGACTCATAGTGACCCTACAGGACAGAGTAGAACTGCCCTATAGGGTTTCCAAGGCTGTAATCTTTATGGAAGTAGACTGCCACATCTTCCTCCCGTGGAGCTGCTGGTGGATTCCAACTTTTGACATTACGGTATTATCAACCCTCTGGCCTTCCCAGGTGTCCCTGGGTGGCACAAACGGCTTGTGCTTGGCTACCAACCAAAAGGTTGGTGGTTCAAACCCACCCAGTGGCACCACAAAAGGAGACCTGGCGATTACAGGCATTGAAAATCCTATGGAGCACAGTTCTACTCTGAAACACGTGGGATCACCATGAGTCAGCATCTACTCTACTGGAATGGGTTTGGCTTAGGGTTTTTGTTTGTTTTGTCTTCAGTCCTGGGAGAAGAGGATGAGGCTGATGGGAGGAAGACACTATTACAGAGCTTTCCCTCCAGGTCATCAGATCTTCCTGTAAGTGGACACCACCCACCAAGAGGGTCACAAGATCCTGGGCCTGGGCCCTCTGGTCAGCTCCTCCTCCTTCCTCTTGGGTGGGGAAGCTGAGGCACACACTTCTGAGCTTCTCCGTGGCTGCCAGCCCCGTGCCCGCTGGCCTCATCCCCTGTCCTGGGTTCAAGCCCCAGGAGGGCCATGACCTCTGTCTCCCAAGAGAGATCGTGTAGTGCAGTGGTCATGGAATTAGACGACCATTTCTGCTCTTACTAGCTAGGCAAATACCAAAAACTCCTTAGCTCTCATTTCTCCTTTCGGAAAGTGGAAATAATAACAGTATAGACCACTTAGGTTGCTGTGAGAATTAAGTGAGATAAAGCACATAACAGGCTTAGTTCCTGCAAAGCTAGTAATAATTTTAGATCTTTTATAAGGTGGAGCTGGTTCCTGGGCTCCTTAGAAAGGCGTCAGGCTTCAACCGTGGGGGAATTCTTTCGGCTGCACACACCCCCATGCCATCACAGGGACTGGTTTCTTCCTCCTCAGAAGGCTCTAGAAGAGTTATCTCAGGTGATGTGCCTGGGAGAACTCCAGGGCAGACACAGCCACAAAGACCTGGGATGTGAGGCGGGGTTCAGTGGGGCCTCAGGGAAGACTTCCACCAGAACAGGGGTGGATGGTGGAGGAAGTTGCTCCCTACTCCACCCCTGTGGAAACTGCTGAGCCAAAAAGTGTCTATGGGCGGGGGCAGAAGCTCTGGAGGCTGAGTCACTGGCTAGCTCAGGCTCAGGTTCCTTCAGCCCTCTGAGGCCTTCACTTGGCGGGAGGGAGGTGGCAGCAGAGGCAGCTGCTCAGCCTGTCTTTGTTCCTTTCTCTCTTTCCCTCAGCCTCTCCCCATCTTTCATCATCCCTTCCCCCAGTGCTCTCTCTCACTTTCTCAGCTTCCTCCTCTTTCTGTCACTCTCCCACCAACCTCAGTTCCTCCCCCTTTCATCCTCCCTTCAAAGCTGGTTTCTTGCTTTCTCATCCTTTCTTCTTCCTCAGACCTCAGAATCACACTTAGCGTCTTCCCCTCCCACCTCCCTCCCCTTCTTCTGCCTCCTTCCCCTCCACCCTCTCCTCCTCAGACTCTCTCCCTCCCCACCTCCATGTCCTCCCTCCTGCTTCCTTCTCCCCCTGGTCCCCATCCTCTTCTCTGTCTCTCTCCCTCTGCACCTAAAAAAGACACTTCGAGTCCCCAAACAGACAAAAACAGGTCAAGGTTCCTCATCCTGCCTTCACTTGCTGCCTCTCCAGCCTGTGCCCCAGCCCCTAGCCTCAGTCTGGGAGGTCAGGGACAAGAAACCAAGTTCAGAGCTGAGCAGAAAATTGGAGTGGGTTGGGAGAGCTGGAGTCCAGCCAATCTCCACCAGGACCTGGAACTCTCTCCCTACCTGGCAATTCCTATGCCAGGTCACCTGTTTCCTGCAAAAGCCCCAGCTGGCTCCCAGCTTCCTGCTGCCGGTGAACCAGTCCCTGCCCTCCCTGGGTCTGTTTGCCACCTTCCTCTCTGCCCCTGGTGCAGGGATCATGGTGAGAAGAAGGCCAGAAAGCAATAAAGGTCATAATGACCGCTTTGGAATGGAGGGAAAACAACTGGGGGAGGGACTGTACTGTATGGGGTGCACACTGTGGTGGAAACAGCACGGCTTTGAAACCCAGCAGGCTGAGTATGAATCCTGGCCCTGCTTTTTATGAGCCAGTGGTCTTGGGCAAGACCCTCCCTGCACCTCAGTGTTCACCTCTGTAAAATGGGGATAATTAAGAGCACCTTCCTTCTGGGACTGTTGTGAGTTTGCAATGAGAAAACGCATGGGAAGCACTTGGCCCACGGTTGTTGTTAGGTGCCATCAAGAGTCGAAAATCGACTCATAGTGACCCCATGTACCAGAGTAGAACCGCCCCATAGGGTTTTCTAGGCTGTAATCTTTACGGGAGCCAGGTGGCTGCTTTGAAACTTCAGTTCCTCCCTCCTTGGAAAAAGGAAGGCTTCGAGGAGGAGATGGGGCTTGTTCTGGGAGTTGAAGGATGGGTAATAATCATAATCATGCTTCTGTTTTTGTTGACAGCAGGTGCTATGCTAAGCAGTTTGAATGCACTGTGTCATGTAACCCCCAGCCCCTGGGAGGCAGTTATTTTCTTATCCCTCCTTCATGGAAGAGGCAGCTGAGGCTCAGAAAGGCTACGTAATTTGCCCCAAGTCACACAGCAAAGTGGAGACGCAAAAGTCTTAACTTGGGATAGGGAGGGCAGAATGGGGGGTTGGGTCTGGAGATGTACACAGTGACAGTGAGAGCAATTGCAGCACCTAAGGCAGGCATGAGCAGGGACATTGAAGGATGGGGTGTGGCCTTGGGGAAATCCTCCTTGAGGCCATTGCAAACCCATCTCTCACCCTCCGATCAGACTCAGGACTTTACTATTTCCTAGGTCAGCCCTCAGACTTGACCCGCCCACCGGGCTTCCTGCCGCTGAACCCCTGTGGAGAGGAGAGGAGGGGTGGGGTCCAGGTTCCACTGGACCACGTCCCTGACGCTCCCTCTCCACACACACACCCTGATAGCTAGTGACTGGGGTTTGGCCCCGCCCCTTGTATGACAGGGTAATCTGTTTTTTGCCATCCTGCATTGTGTAACAGGGATAATCCTTCCTCTGGAGGGCCAGGCAGGGCCCGTAGGGTATTGCCTGAGATTACAAACAAGGCTGGGGAAAGAGGAGCACGGCGGGACCGTGGCAGGCAGGTATCTTGTGGGAAAAAAGGGTAGTAAGGCCTAAAACAGGAGGTTTCTGGAGGGAAGAGGTGAGCTAGGAGGACTTGAACCAAACAGTGGTAGTCACCCCACCTATTGTATCCCAGTCGCAGCCCCCAGCCATCTCAGATTACACCCAATATTGCTTTCAGATAGCACTCCACGGTTTCCATGGCAACTCACCCACGTGGTCGCTGCCTTAGAGGCTGAGGTGGGTGGGTGGAAGGCAGTGAAGGACAGCTGACTAGAGACACCAAGTGCTCCTGGAAGGTGGGGGGACTGTCGCTCCTGCCCCGCCACCCCCACAGTTCTGGTGGAGTCCCACCTTCCCAACCCATGTCATGCCTCCTGCCCTTCACTCTCACCTCCAAGGCTCCCAGGTGAGGGCACACAAAGCCTCAAGGGAAAGAGGAAATGGAGCTCCAGGACAAAGGGGCTACAAGATTACTTCCTGGAATATACCCTTCACCTGCGTCATTTGGTGCCACTGCCACGGGGACCTGGGGCAGGACTGCATCAGGCCTCAGGGCTCTTCAAAGAGAGGGCAAAGGAGACAGCCTTTGCTTGTGGCTCAGAGTTCCTTCCTTCCTTCCTTTGAAATGGGCTAGGCATCCCATTCTGGAGCCAGGGTTTGATTCTTGCTCAGCAGCGGTGAGCCATGTGGCCTTGGGCATGTGACCTTGAGCAAGGAGCTTCACCTCTCTGAGACTGTGTCCTCACTGTGTGGGGGACAGGCACATCTGCCTTTGTGGGTTGTCGAGAGGAACAAATGAGAGAACGTGTGAGAAAGATAAAACAGATAACAGCAGAGATGCTTCTGTTGAAATGCGAGGTGCTCAGAACCCCACCCTGTGCCTTTCTTATCTGGTCAGGGGCCCAGCAGCTCAGAACCCTTGTATAAAAACCCAGATTTTTTGGGGGGGTCCCCTCACTTTCCTAGGAGCCCTGGTGGCACAATGGTTAAGTGCTTAGGTGCTAATGGAAAGGTCTGTGGTTCGAATGAACCCACCCAGCAGGAGAAAAGACCGGGTGATCTGCTTCCATAAAGTTTTCAGCCTAGAAAACCCTACGGGGCAGTTCTCCTCCATCATATAGGGTCACTATGAGCTGAAATCTACTTGACGGCACACGGCAGTAACAACTCACCTTCCTGTGCTGGCCGTGTCTTGACTGCTTTTCCCTGGATTTGACCCCTCCCAAGTATCTAGTCTAGAGCCAGTGCCCCATGAAGGTTCCTTGCCGTCCCACCCCCGCCATGCTGAGATTCTAGGCCAGTGTGGCATTCCCTGGAGAAGGCTGCCCAGTTCTCTCGGGATCTTTCCCACTCTTTTCCCCTTCCCTGTCTTTCGACAGGAGTCCCGGGGTGGTGCAAAGGGTTAATATGCTTGGCTGCTAACTGAAAGGTTGGAGGTTCAAATCTACCCAGAGGTGCCTCTGAAGAAAGGCCTGGTGATCTACTTCTGAAAAATCAGCCATTGAAAACCTTATGAAGTACAGTTCTGCTCTGACACACATGGGGTCACCATGAGTCAGAGTCAACTGGACAACAACTGGTTTTGTTCTTTAAAGTGGGAAGCTCCTTTGTGGTCCTGGCTGGCGATTTCTCTCCCACCTTGCTGGGGACTTATCCGGGCTTGGACCCCAGGGACACAGCCAACATCCTGGTGGCGAAACTTAGCAGAGGTATGAGGTAAAGGGAGAGGAAGAGAGAGACTCCCTGCCACAGCTAAGGGGCTGAGACCTGGCTGCTGGCCTCTCATCTCTCCCAATCACAACACATTGACTCCTGAAGACCAAAATCCCCAGGCTGTGCTCAGCCACCCCACAAAGCCAGCATGTCCCCTCCCTTCTGCTTTGGGTTTCCTGAGGGGGTTCCTCCTGCCCCAGGACCCTGTGTGAGCGGCTGGCCTCCCTCCCTGGGCCTCCCTCCCTCATCTGTCACATGGGGGTCAACGAGATGATCTCCAACACCCCCTCCAGCTCTAAAACACTGACTCTGCAATTCTCTGCAGCAGTGTGCAGAAGCGGCTGTCCACTCGAGCACCGGCAGCCTCCTCCTCCACAGCCCAACCCCCTCCTCTCTTTTGTCACTTCACTAGGCAGTGCCCCTGAATCCCAGAGAGGGTGCCTTTCATTATTTTTTCTTTATTTTTATCAAAGGGTATTTTTTGTCAAAAACTGTGTTTCCCTCGAGACAGCGCAGCCTCTGAGCAGGCTACCCTTGTTGCCGTGGTGACAGCAGCTGGCTCACGTGTGTGGTTGCTATGGAAACGAGGCTGGTTTTCCTCCCTCCTTCTCCTCTCCTGTCACTTTCCCTTCTTAAGCTGCCTCTCCGCCCCCTACTTCTCCTTCACACCACTTGGGATGCAACAAAAGGGCAGGGACCGGCCCCAGGCTCCAAAGGAGCAAACTGGGTCCTTGCCCCTGGCTCGGCAGTTGCCATGTGGGTCGACACCTGTGACCGGACCTTTCTGTCAGTCCAGGGAAGTGCTTCTTCAAAGGCTCTTCTTTCCACACACCAGAATGTGGGTTTTCTGACACAAGGCCCAGAGGCACAGACAGCCCTAAGCACTCTGTTAGGCCAGGGCCCAAGGGAATCCTGCCCCAGACAAAGGGTGGGTGCTGCCTTCTCCCCAACAGGGGCAACTTCCGCATAAAGCTGACCCCAGATGTTTGCCCCGACATCTTTGCGTTGTGGCCTAAGTCTGCTTTGCCAAAGCACAGATGCATAGAAGAAAAGGAAGGATTCTCGAGGAAGAAAATCAATGGCAACAGAGGTAGAGACGGAGAGGGAGCATGTGCAGAAAGCTGGAGCTTGTTTGTCTGTAGATGCTGTATAGATTATGTGTAATTTTTCCCACTGGCATGCAAGCACCTAAAGGGTAGAGACTCTGCCCGTCTTGTTGCTGATGAATCCTCAGTGCATGCCTGAGGAATGCATGAGGAGAGAGAGAGAAAATTATATGCACCAACATTTTAATATTGATTGTTTTCTCAGCGGTAGCTCTTACTATTCCTTTTTTGCCTCTTTTTTTTAGTGACCATGCATGAAATTGTTCACTATTGTTGCTGTTGGGTGCCGTCGAGTCGATTCCACCTCATGGTGATTCCATGTGACAGAGTAGAACTGCCCCATAAGCAGTGGCATCACTAGGGGTGATGTCACCCAGTGCGGTAACTCATGGTGTCACCCCCCCCCCCGGTGGATCTCCTCCCATACCAGGTCATACAGAATCCTTAGTAATGTTTTTTTATTAATGTTACTCATAAATTGTAATTCCTGTATATCACTTCTTCTTTTCCTTTAATTACCACCTCATTCTCAAAAAAGTTAGTGACATAAGTTCACAAATACTGATTACCACAATATTGTAGCTAAAACACCAGAAAATTTGACAAAATCAGTGACTCTAAAAACACCAGCAGCAACAAGAGTAACAGTGTATGCAGACGAAACCACGTGATTTGAAGCATCATTGTAATTGGGTAATAATGACAGCTCTGACTGGAGCGCATTAGAAGGTTCAAAAAGTAAATCAGTGGAGAGTTTTAGCCTTGTAGGTATATTGAAACATGTAAGCCGGGCTTACGAAAAATGTTCTTGTTGTTATGAATATCTACGGGGATATTTTTACAGATAGTCATTTTGGTGTCACCCCCTCTGACAGTGTCATCCCGTGTGGTCCGTACCCCAGCACCCCTCCAGTGATGCCGCTGCCCATAGGGTTTTCTCGGCTATACTCTTTACGGAAGGAGATTGCCAGGCCTTCTCCAGCGGAGCAA